TAGATAGCAAGGAAACGAAAATAATATTTTTGCGCAAAAACTGTGAATGCTTCAATATTTTACAAAGATCCCAAAAATTTCAATAAGGAGATTCTGGTAGTTTTTGTATCAAGACAGTCAAGAGTTCAGCACTTGCCCATAGCGGATGAACTCGGGTGCTTCATCAAAACATGAGTCTTGCATATAATTTTTCAAAAAACATAATATTTTAGAGAACTTTGTTCACCAATATCCGAAGAGCCAGACATTTGTTTTGATAAAAGTTACGTAGCATTGTTTTTTTTTAGTCCAAGAAGGTCAGAGTACCCTTTTGATCATGTGCTTACGAGACCTGTATAATACAATTGATATTATCCAAATCGACCACCACTGGTGACAATTCACTTAAAATTACAGTTAATCTCCTATTGCCTGCAAATCAATTATGTTAGCTTATAATTTAATTGATGACAGGATGTTACTTCCGCTCTTAATGTTGTTCGCGAGCAAGTTGAGGGACGGTTAGATATACAGGATGGCTCATGGTTGACGGCAGGTTAGATCGATACGGAAAACGAAACATTAGATTGTTCTGAAAATCTACCTACTTCATAATCCAAAAATATTCTTCATATACCAAAAAGTGGTATAAACATTGCTTTTTTAATTGAAATGGCAAAGTTGACGAATGAATAAAATAGGTAGCAAAGTTGAATAGCATATCTCAATTGAGACATCCTGAATATAATACAGTTATTAGTCTCTCTCTCTCTCTCTCTCTCTTCGTTTTTCTAAAATTCATTCTAGGATCTTGTAGTTTAAGCTGCACCGCGGCACACAATCAATCCTCCTAAAGATTTCATACCAGAAATGAACTGAAGTTGTTATGAAGTTATGAAACTAAAAGTTAGTTTATTTTGCAACAGAATTGTAGCTTCACTTCTGCTTTTAGAATTAACATTTATTATTTACACTGGCACGAAATTTTAAATATATTTTCCAGAAATCAATTATAATAAAAATAAAAATTATCGTGAGTAGTATAGTAGTAGTTATCGTCAGAATTTTAAATGTCTGTATAGAAATGATTTTGTTTGCGAAACATTACATTCATATCCGACATTATTAAAAGTACCTCTTGTAAAAACCAATTGGATTCTTGATTTATTATGGCTAAAAAAAATATATATTATGTAGATTAGCAACCATAAGTATGAAGATAAGTAATACCGAACACGAAATGACATCACCAATTGTTGCATATTGGCATCGGATTTTCCAACATTGCTGTCAGTTCACTGTTAAACGTTCTCCACATTCTTGCGGTAGATCGTGTTTACAATTTAGTGACTAGATTAGAATAAATCGCTACTGCTCAAGTATATTTACAAACATTATTACAGTATTTTTATAACTTTATGCTCTTTATCACCAAATTCAAAATCTCGCTCATATTAGATGTGGCTTAACCCATCTTACCAAGTTTATATATGAATTAGGTAATTGAAACATTTTTAAATAATAAACTAATCTACTAACTAGACCAGTCTTTAAATAATTAACAGTTAGTTTTGTCTTCAATGCAAATGGGCATATAGGTCAAAACTATTAAACCACGTAACAAGAGAACTATATGTTCTTAAACTTTTTTCTATCAATAATGGGGTCCTTGCACATTTTTTTTATTTCATAAAATTGATTATTGACGAACAAATAAGAGCCCTACAATTTTTTGTCACATTCTGTATAGCCGTAACAAATCTATCAGCAGTGAAAGATTAAACTTACGCAAAGCCGAAACGACGAGTTTTGGCTGATCGTAATGTGGCGCCCCGAAGCATGATTCTGCTCCGCCACATTCATCGCTTATACGTGTTTCCATGCTCTAATGTGAATATTGTGTCTTGGTTTGCTTGTTTCTCAATTATTGAAATTAAAAGGGTTTATAAGTACTATATGGTGCCACAGTGTACAAGTACCACTACGTCTACATCAGGAAAAACATTTGTAAAGTACCATTGAACGAAAAGGAACGGAAATTGTGGTTGAAAGCAGCGCGGTGAAACTGCACCGATCTTTCTGCAAAAAGTAACATTTATGCCTGTGAGGATCATTTCGATGTAAGTTCGCATAAAAGCAATATAATTTATAGGGTTCTAAACCCTGTGTGTTCGTTAGATTTAGGTTTCACTTTTGCTTCATTATGTGCAGTTTTGTTTAATGTATTTCACAGCTTGAAAAAGACATGGAAAATTTAAAGAAGTGGAAAATGATGGGAATTCAGAAAAGAATGAAAAAAGATGTTGTTCCACATAAATTTGCGTGGCAAAAAGACAGAAAACGAAGTAGTGACGCTCCTGTACCAACCGTAGCTTTGAAACGCAATAGACTTAACATTATAAATGACGCTTTAGACGCTTTAGATGCAAGATTATACCTGGGTGTAAATAAAGCTTTATTTATAATTAAGCTACTTAGAGAGACTACAAAATTGGGTTTTGTAAATATTTATCTAGTTC